ATTCCCCCCCCCACCCCCCCCCCAAGTTTCCTTTCCAGGGGAAAAAAGCCACATAAATTTTTAGTTAGATTGTGACCCAGCTTGTATTCTATGTGTCTTTCAGAAAAAGCCCAAAGTGCTTCAGGAAAATGACTAGTGATAGAAAATCATTTATGCTAGAAGTGTAAATGATTTGTATACTTGAACTACAAAGTTATATTGTTAGCCTAATATATAATTTACCTATTGTGTATTTGCTGACTAAAAAAATGGAAATTTGGGAGATGTTGCTAAAGTAGGGAGAAATTAGCACAGTTTTATTTTTTCTACCGATAAGGAATTTGTAAAGAAAACCTGGATGTAACCCTGACTGTACAATTTTCTTGTATGAAGCACTAATAGTGAAAGCAAGCAGGCCACTTCATGGCCTCCCATAATTCTTCCAAGAACAGTTGCCAGAAGTATAAATTTCCGGTAAGAAACTGGTTTCTTTTTTTATGAGTTACCAGCATTGGAGGCAGAAATCTTTCTCAGGAATAGCAGCAGCTTTGCAGGGGCTGTTTCTCTATCCGGACTCCAATTTGAAGTGAGAAAATAAGGAGAACTGTCACTAACTGGTTCCATCTCTGGAAAATTTTGAGCTTGCAAGTACATCAATGGTAACTGAATTTGGATGGAAGCCTACCTACTGAGAAGGAACATGTTAGGAACTTGGGAAATAAAAAGCCATTTTGTCAGTGTAAGTGTGAAATGTATTTAAGTATATGACTTCATAGTGCCTAATGCTTTTTTTTTTTTTGTCGTCTCCCCCTGTGCCCCCAGGACACCTACAATGGCAGGAGGTCTCTTTTCAATAGACAGAGATTACTTTCAGGAAATTGGAACATATGATGCTGGAATGGATATTTGGGGTGGAGAAAACTTAGAAATTTCTTTCAGGGTAGGTAAAACTCTTCTCTTTTCAGTGTGCTATTACTCAGGATAGTGCATCTTGAGTTCTGTAAAACACAGATCTGCTGCCTGCTGCGTCAGTGTCCTCTCCTGCTGCAGTTAGCAGTTCGCCTCCTGTCAAGTTCCTCCAATGGAGATACGCAAAGACTGTATCTGTCAGTGAAAAGTGCATGGTGAATAGTTGGCAGAGCCTTGTGATTAAAAGATTGGGATGGTCATTCTGAAGAATGAATGCATGTGTGTTAAAAGGAGTTCAGTTAGAAAAGCTAATCGGGGAGCGTAAGTTAAGGCTGATGTCATCAGTGTATGGTTTAATTTATCAGTGAAATGTGAGCACCTCTGTTACAAACTCTCTCTTCTTGCTGTTTTCTAACTTAATGATTGCATGTGTTCATTTGGATATGGACCTAACAAGCACTGTACTCGCTTTCATTCCTACCAAATAACACTATTTCCTTTTGGCTTAGTTATTAGCTCAGAGTATATAAGTGGATACTTCTGAAGTAGTTCAGCTTTCTGAATCTGCCATTTTTAGAGGTCCAAAATAAAATTGAAAATATTTTCAGAAACCTCACTTGGGAAGTGAATGGGGTTTTCTACATGGAGATTCTATTTTATAGTGGACTTTCTTGGACAGATCACCACCTGTTACTTCCCTGTGATTCATGTGAGCCTTTTCCTTCCTTCGCTGTCAGCTTGCCCAGTTCTCTAAAGTAGTCTCTTGTTGATGCATTATTGCTGTGAGGCCTGATGTACTCTTTCTTATGCTACCTTACTCAGGCTTGTGAGCATCTTTATCTGTTGAGCAGGAAACAGGCATACATTTCTCTTCCATGCAGTATGTATTTGTTCTAGACCTCAACTAATATTGTTTCTCTAACTTGAACAGAAGCAAGTGATTAACATTTTTAAACTTTTTTTAACGACTTGAAGCTATGCAATAATTGTTCTATCACTTTCAGATCTGGCAGTGTGGTGGCACTTTGGAAATTGTAACTTGTTCACATGTCGGGCATGTGTTCAGAAAAGCAACACCATACACTTTTCCAGGAGGTACAGGGCAGATAATCAACAAAAATAACAGGCGGCTTGCAGAAGTCTGGATGGATGAATTCAAAAACTTTTTTTATATCATTTCCCCAGGTGAGCAGGTCTTTGGTTATGAGAAATACCTATTAAGAATTAAAATGTTATTACTACTGGGAAAGAACATGAGTTATTTAAATGAAAATGTTATTGCTTTGAAGTTCGTAAGACAAAGCTCACGTAAGATGTACAAAATGAAAGGTCTTAATTAAAAAATAATTTTGTTAGCCAGAGATGTGCCCTGAAATCTTTTCTTTTCTTTTTTTTTTTTAAACATGCACATGATTTATGAATGAGCTTCCTGTGCAGTAGAATTAATGGAACGTCAAACAGCTGAACCGTAGTGCTGAAAACTAGCCATCCAAATACATCTCGTAACGTGCTGGAGTTTGGCCTCTGGCTTCTGTGTTGTAGGCGTTCCAGGTTGAATAGATCAGAAGTGATTTAAGTGAAACCCTGTAGCAGGAGTGGCAAAAGTTAATGTCTTCTGGCTTGGTTTTTGAAGTTTGCACTTCACTATTCAGAGTATAGGTGCAAGTTGCCAATATACTTCACTGTGATGATATTTATTATGTTTCTTAAAATGGATGTTAACAAAACAAGAGGATGTAAAATATGAGAGCAAATTTCCTATGAACTCAAACTTTCTGGGAAAAAAAAATCAGGAAAAGAAAGGAAGCCTGGGAAATACTGCATTATTACTTTCAGCTACAGGATTTTTTTGTTGTTTAAAAAACCAGAGAGAGACAAACTTTGGGTAGCAATAGACATCCTCTGTAAATACTTGAGACATTAGAGACATTCGACTTTAAATAGTAAGTGGTAGTTCTATATGCCACATCTGCTTTTCCAAAGACATATCTTTAAAACTAGTATTTCCTTATGACTTGCTTATTAAACCTGCGTTAGTAGTGAAATTTAAAAGCTATAATACAGGTAGTATGAGTCTGAACAGTGTCAAATTTTAGATTGCAGGTTTCAAGAATACTTGTGAGAACAAGTGACTGTGCGGATTTATGGTGGTTTTTTGTCTTAAGAGAACGCATTATTCAAATTAGGATTTTTTTAATTAAAAAAAAAAAATTTGTGCTACTACTCAAAGCTTGTTAGGTGAAATCAGAAGCTAACAGCTTATGGTTACTGCCCTGTGTTGTTGTTAATGAAGCGTTATGGGTTCAAACATGACACATATAGATATATCATTCAGAAAAGTTGTATATAAATAGGTGCAATTGTTTTTGGTTAAGATTGGTTTTATGCATACATGTCAAGCTAGGTTTTAAAATGTACTAAGTAGCTGGAACACCTAACTATAAAAATAACCTAATTCTTAAAAACAAATGCAAGTTACTGAACACCATGATAAGGGTGTGTTATGTCATATATAATCTCTATAGTCCTTCCATTTCATGTGGTAACTGTAGCTACAAAAGGAGTTACACTGAATTTTGTAGGATTGTTGTTTTGATAGGACTTTCTTTCATAGCTTTGCAGTATTGTGGAATATGCATGCATTCTCCTGTTGGAGAAAAGGGATGAAAGAATTTAATTTAAAATAGCATACAGTAAAAATTTTGAAATGGTGAAAGTAACTTAAGCAATTATCTATAACTGCACTGTATATTTTCTTTCCTTTCAAAAGATGCATGACTGCATAGCTTGTATGTTAATAGCCTGAATGATTGGTGGATAGGAGTGTGTGCTCTCCGAGCTCCTCTTAGTGCATCTGCACCTGCTGACTGGCACATGATCTCATTTGTGTACCCATATCCGTACTGACACTGCACTAAAGTTTGATACTAGAATTTCCAAGTGTTTCGAGAATAGGATCATATAGTACCTGAATAAGTTGCGTTATTCTGAAATTGGTTTGTTGCCTGGGGCTGTGAAGAGAGTGGTTAGTACTGTGGTTCATTCTTAGCTATGATATAATACCTATTGTTTAGAGAATGAATACATAAATGTACTCAGTGCCACTCATGCCTCTCACCCCCCAAATCCATGTAAGTTGTGGGAGCCAGTAGGTATTAACTAGAAAGGATTACTATTTTGGGAAGTTCACAAACACCTTACTGTTGTTATTCTAGTATCTCCAATCTTACCCGAGTGTTGCAGACCCTGATTTTACCTGTTGACAGCAAATAACATCAGTGTAAATTTCAGTAAGTCTTTCTGGCCAATAGTTGTCTCAGGAACTCAGTGAATCTCTGCTGCATTGGCTCATTTAGCCATACCCTGCTTTTCCAGGTATCCTTCTAATATAAAAATTTAAATGTTTAGTTCTTGCAGAATGATGGTGTAGTGACCCTCTGGCAGAGTACAGTATGCAGCCTGTGAAAGTCTTTGCTAGTACAATGTGTACTTTCAATATTACCGTGACAGTGTCACGAGTTTTTGCAAGGAGTGAGGTGAGAATTTTTAAGCTGATGCTGGTTTGCTAAGCCTGTGTGCAGATGAGCAAGAAAAACAAGCAATCCTCTGTGTACCCAGGTTTTTTTTCCTCATTAGTTGACATGGATGAGAAAATTGGATTTTGAAGGAGGTAATATACTGACAGGCATCATCGAGCCTAGCTAACAATAAATTTGTTTCCTCCTTTATATCCTTTCTCTTCTGCTCCCTTAAGATAGTGAATCACAGAGGGATTGGTCCAGGAAAGCAAACCTAAGATTCTCAGGTAGCTTCCCCACTTCAAGTAATCTGTGTTGTCTGGGAAAAAAAAAGGCTTACTGTTTGAATGATAGGAACTCAAGAGACTTTTTATTATTGATGTAGTGTAGTTAAATGGAAGGCTGCCCTCTTGAAAAGTAAGCCCGTAATCCTTTTTTCTTTAATAAGTACAGCCTGGTAGAAATTGTTACTTGTCTGTTTTAAGCTTTCATGCATTTTAGAAGCCATCTCTCTGCTTAGAAGTGGTTAGGTACAGATGGAGGTTGGGCAGGAAGGGGTTGCAGCAGCTGCTGCTCAGCCAAAATCAAGCCTATCTTATTGCACTCAACAGCTATCCTCCACGGCAGCAATAGCACTAGCTGTAGTCTTTTCTCATTAGCCGACAGTTTTCCTCACAGTCATGCGTTACAGCAGGGCGCTGTTTTCCAGACCATTTCCTCTTAGGTTTTCAGAAAACGGATCCAGTATGTGCAGGTGAATAGTCTGATTCCTGGCTCTGGTCGGCTTGTTCTGCAGACTCTGCCACTTCTTTGTGATTTCTAGTGTTGGCCTTTCATCACTTTCTCCAATCTAAAATACGAGGACTGGATAGTCCAAGGTGAGGCTTCATGAGATGGCGATGTCAGTCTAACAGCTTGCTGTGAGGAGAGTGCCTTGCTTTTCATGGCAGGTGATAGGGCTTCACCTCCCTTCACTTGTTGGTTGTTCATATATGTCAACCGATTTGACTTGCTGAACTTGTCAGGATTAGTTGCCCTGTGGGCTGGCGCTCTACTGGTTAAGTTAGCACCTGTGTCAGCACAGGAGGTGCAGCAGGAATCCAAAGCTGAGCAAGGGAAAGCTGCCCCTTTCCGCAGCAGCAGCTGCAAATCATTAGCCTGGTTTACCGCAGCTACCTCCCCCTAACCTTCTCCTAACTACTTATTAATGATAAACTGACAGTTGTAGAATTTGTTGGTATCCTTAATCTAAAGGTGAAGCATGGATATTTTCAGACCGTGTGGTTTTCCTGTGCTGCATGTGAGTCTGAGTTCCAGCTCCTACATGCGCCTCCCTGCTCCTTGTCCAGCGTGCATCCTTGTCATTCAGCAGCCTCTCGTATCCCAGCTGGTGAGCTGAAGGCATCCCAAACAGCAGCTCCGATGAGCTTGGGTAGAGCCTTGTCTAGCTCGTATGGAAATTAATTTTATTCTTGACCAAAAGTTTGCCGCAGAAGGTATTTTCCGTTGCACTGGGGCTAAGTGGACAGGCAGAAGGCCTGAAAAGACAGCATTGCAGAATTACCTGAGCAAGAGCCATCTAGACATAGACAGACATGTTATCCTGAAAACTGGATCAGTAGGCCTAGTTTCTAATCGCCGCATGCACTTCTCTCTAAGCAAGCACAGTAAGTCAAGGTTCAGTATGAAGACTGAAATGGATAACGTTTTTATTTATGGTTGATAGGGAGGACAGCGAAGGAACTGAGTCCACATTTTGCAATGTAGCTAAGCCTGTGTTCAAAATATGTGCTGAGTGATTCCACGTGTTCTTGTTTTCAGCTAGTATTCCCTATTAACATTAATTAGGAATGCAAATAATGTAGCTATTCAAATTGGTTTTAAATGATAATTGCTTATTGAGTTTCATAATACTAAATAAAAACAAGTTCTATAATTTTTAACAGAAGACTAGTTTTAGATGAAAGAGTTTTCATGCTGTGCTTTTGCTAATGATTGAGCAATTTATAATCATGACGAAAACATCATGCTTTTTTTTTCAAAGCAGTTTAGCATAAACATATTGCCACACATTGAACTTGGCAAGCAAGTCTTCAGCTCTTGAAATTTTGAGAATGGCAGAACTGTTGCAACACAGCTGATAGGAAGCTTAAATATAAGGTAGCAAAGAAAATTAAAGTGCAGAAGTAGTGTTCTACTGATAGACATCATTATATGTATGTTTTTGTAAAGGTGTAAGGAAAGACCATTATATATTACTAATCAGAGTAGTCTGGTACTGCATACCAAACTTCTTCAAGAATAGTGACAGCACAAGCAAGTGGTGAGATGAATCTTACATTTGTAGAAGAGAACTGGTGATGGTGTGATTGGATGATGTGATGTGGGGTTTTTTTGCCTTATCAATATTTTTGTTTCCATCTTTAAGCATATGTGTGACAAAGAGCATGCAATTGTCCCACAGCAAGCAGCAAGCTGTGTGACAAATAGAATCATCAGGGAGGTCCAGGCTTCTAATGTAACTGGGGTTTGGGGGAGGGGGTTGGGGAGGGGAGGAAATATATATGGCATGGTCAAGTAAAGACAACAGTAGCAAGTACTGTTAAATACTATTTCTGATTTTTTTTGATTTTTTTTTATGGATTTTAATGATTTATAATCTTGCAGAAATCCACATTTTATATACAAGAACAGGAAGTCTTAATACAAGAAAAGCTTTTTTTTGTTTTTTTTTTTTTTTTGTTTTAAGCCGAGCATTTAAAGTACAAAAACACTGGAAGGTATATGTCACTGTTGTGTGTGTATATAAATTTTACCGGTCTGTGGAGGGAATAGTGATTTAGACATGTACTTAATTTTTGATACGCTTTTATATTTTGCAGTTTTCCTAGTTTGTTTCAATTTTTTTTCCCCAAAAGAACCGTTACCCATAAGTAACTGCCGCTTCACTGTATAGTACAAATGTATAGGAACACTCACGCTAGTTTTGAGTAATATAGATAAGGTACCGGACTAATAATGGTTAAATGGAATATAATACACAGCTTTTATTTCATTGTAATGGAGGGAAAATCAGGTGGCACTTTTCTTTCTACATGGTGACATTTAAAACTACCTTAAGAAACAGTACAATTGTATGCTATTAAGCATCAATTTGCCTTTAATTCTTCATGGTTGTGACTTTAATTCTTATTGCCATTCAGTGATGTGACAAAGCCTTAACAGTGTTGTTTTCTTGAAGGTCAGTGTAGCAAACTCTGATGAATGAGTTTTGAGTATCGTAAGGTTTTTGTGAGGATGGCATGATAACTCTTTCATCCATCAGCTGCTTTTTCATCACTGAAAAATGAAGAACTCCATACTTAGCTGTGGTTGGTACAGTCTTTCTCTTCTTCATCATCTTTTGAGAGAATGCTCCTTTTGGTGTAGAGCAAATACTTGCTTTGGTGAAGACAGGGCAGTGTTTGGGGGGTTTTTTTGGTCTTGTGTTTTTTGGTTTTGGATTTATTTTGTGACTGGAAAGGCCAGACTGAAGGTTTCTGGGATTCTGTTCTAAGAGATTTTTAAATTTCATTCACACTATTCAAAACTGCATTAGAAAACAAGCTTTCCTTTCATTCCCTTGCCAGTATAGTTCTCTGGCATCTTTGTTAAAAAGTCTTTAGTGTTTGTGGTTTTTTGTTGTTTTTGTTTGGTTGGTTTGTTTTTTTTAAAAGCCTAAAAGCCTGGCTAGCATTTTTTCTTTCTGGAATATTGAAATTACTAATGTTTTTATTGATATTTACAAACATTTAGCTGAAATTATGCAGTTATCTGTCTTAATTGAGTAGAAATACACCATCTGCTGGCAGGTCGATTTAATAACACAGTATGCCAACTTAGAAATATCTCAAACTGTTTCAAAAGGTCAACAACTTTAGAGGTAATTCACAGTCCTCTAAGTGGAGGGATTTCTGACAAATGTATGCAGCTGGAGGTCTATAGTGTGGTGGCCAGTTGAGCCATATTTGTGGTCCATGAGGGGAATTTAAATTGCTAAGACTTGTTTTTGTTCTTTTTTTGGTTTGGGTTTTTGTTTGGTTTGGGTTTTTTTGTAATGTATTACTTTTGGCCTGTGTGGTATGGAGTGTAGTGTGGAAAATACAAAAAGAACGTGATGCCTGAAAACTAGAAATTATCCTACCCTTAATTAATTAATACTATTGGAATATTAATGTCAATAGTGCTTAATTCTGGTGAGGCAAAAATATCTACTGGTCATGCATACCTTCCTCAACCCATCTGAAGATGGGACTTGCACAAATTAATTTTCAGAAGGAATTAAAACAACCATAAAGGAGTGGGAAGATACAGGAAGAATGAGCACTTCGATAAATGAGGAGCAAAGGAGAAAAGGCAAACAAAATACCACAAAAAATGATAGCAGTCCTGATGGTGAATGTACTTCCTGCAAATGCTGCAGTTATATTGAACAAATACTGAATTATTAAAGGATTAGTTCCCTGTATGAAGGCTGCTTTCTGACTGTTTCTTTGTGCAGTTAGATAGATGATGAAGGGTCCAGCAGGTGGTACCTGGCTTACAGAGTTAAATTAAAATGGAATTCTGCTTGCTCCACAAAAGGAGACTGCTATGTTATGCTGCATAGATATGCACCCCAGTTGCCACTGGGGGTAGAATGGCAATAGTGACTATAACGGTTTCAGCCTTTCTCCTCTGATAACTTAGTAAGCAACTGCATTCAAATTGTTTCACAAACCACACGTAAGAAATTACCATGTGTAGCATAGAGGTAGTGATTCCATCTTTTGTATAATTATCTGGAAAAAGAAGTCACAGGTAGTGACTGACGTGTACTCTCTGAGAATATAAACAGCATAATGCTATATTAAAAAAAAAATCATTTCTTTGTGTAGAGATGACTTTCTAAAGAGAAAGTCTTTCATGCAAGCAGAGTATTATACTGATGATTTTTGTATTAAGTGGAATTATATATGTTTATTAGCAGCCATTGAATAAAACTTTCTTTGTTTCTACAGGAGTTACTAAAGTTGATTATGGGGACATATCGTCACGACTTGGACTAAGACGCAAGCTCCAGTGCAAGCCTTTCTCCTGGTACCTGGAGAATGTTTATCCTGATTCCCAAATTCCACGCCATTACTTTTCTCTGGGAGAGGTAAGATTTTATCCTACACATTTATCTACCCTATGTAAAGTACATTGTGCAGTAAGGTGTTTGTATTCTGAACTGATAGTGCAAACAGGTTATCTCCAGCAAAGTTCAAGTATTTTGCACCTGCGTTCCTGTCATCTGTAAAATGATACATCTGGCTTCTCAGCGGGGCAGAAAACTGAACTTTGGTGTACAGTACTGTAATTTGAATGTTTTCCCTTTTTTACTACAGTACTAAATGTCACACATAGAAGGGCTTTAGAAATATTCCTTCAGAAATGTATAGTTACGGATAACTTTCTGTATAATGTTCTCTATGTAGAGTACGAGCAGAGTTTTGCTTAAAAAACTAGACGAGGTCAAACAAAGACTTTGCCTGAAAACTGCTCTGAACTTTACCCCCAGAACCCTTGCCAGTGACCAGCAAATTTCAGTGATCCCTAAGCTTTGCTGGGCATTTCTCTATTTCTTCTTTAAAAGTTTAAGTGACTGTAGAGGTAGGACAGATGATGCCGACCTAAATAAGTAAGCACCTACTCTCCCCTACAAGTGATGTTGAGCCAAATATTGAGCCTGTTGTAGGGTGATTTTGTGCTGTTTGTTTTTAAAATAAATGCTTTTAACAAAATGGAGCAGGCATTCATGCTGCTGCATGACTATCAAGAGACTTGATATTCATGCCTGCTTACTATATAGTAATACAGGGATTAAGGCTGTAACTCAAGAAGTGAGGAAATTGAACCCAGTCACCTGTGATTTCAAAGGGAATTAAACCCACCGTGCCTAGGAGAGTGCTTTAAAAACTCTAAAAGTTTTGGGCTGGAGACTCAGTTGTGTCCATTCTGTTGTAGCTGAGTCTTTGAGCAAAAAGTCCCCAAGATGGAAAGATCCCCAAAAGAAAGCAAAGAAACAAACGTGGTTCTGTAACCTGGTAGCTTGAACATTTGCTTGGGAGTTTGAGTCTTGGACAGTGGCCTCTCATTGTAGTACGGTTCTGATGTTTTACATTTCATTCACGTAACCTCTGGTGTATAGCAGAGAGAACTGGTGCCGGTGTGGTTTGATATGGACCTAGTTCTCTTCTAAAAATAACAACCTTTGGCGATGTGCTCTTTTTCATTCCCAGATAAGAAATGTGGAGACAAATCAATGTCTGGATAACATGGCAAGAAAAGAAAATGAGAAAGTTGGAATCTTTAACTGCCATGGAATGGGTGGCAATCAGGTGACAATTTTTTTTTTTTTAAATGATCTTAATGTATTGAATTATTTGGAACACTACTTCTCATCAGGACAATTCTTCAATTCTTTCAGTAGTTATCTTTAAAATATACTTCAGTTGTAAACTTTAGGAAACGCTCATTGAAAAGATGCCTGTAAGAGGAAATGCATGAGAAGATTCATTGGTGGCTTGTCATTTGTAGGTTTTTGAGGCCAGATTGCAATAGGTTTTAGATTAACTTTCAAGTAAAAAATGAAATGAGGGGAGGAGGAAACCACTATAAGCTAGACTTCACCTCCTGTAGGTTCTCTGGAACTGTCTTCTGGTTAGACGTCATGAATTGGCATGCTTACTTTAAAAAAAACCATGCCTGTACCTGAAATGCTGTTTTTAATGTACGTTTTTCTGGGTGTCAGTTCTGGAATTTATTTTACATCTGTTTTTTTGTTCTACTTTGTTAATAATTATTGATGAATTGTTTTCCAATACACAGAAATAACCTGTGTTGGGGATCCTCCTGTTTCTATGCAGGAAGCAGTCTGCAATTCAAAAAAAATGTCAATTTTGACTGAAGAGCTTGTTCATATAGTGTTTATATTTATTCCCCCCCCCAAAAAAAAAAAAAAAAAATCTTTCTATGCATGCTGAAGGGAAAAGGAAAAAAAAAAGTTTTGGTGGATAGTAATGAAGCAATGCACAAATGTTCCCCCTTTCCCCTGCCCCAGGAATCTTTTAGTTGAACTTTTTTTTTCAGTTCCTCTCATTCTTTTTCTGTCTAGGTTTTCTCATATACTGCCAACAAAGAAATTCGAACAGATGATTTGTGTTTAGATGTATCAAAACTTAATGGCCCAGTAACGATGCTCAAGTGCCACCATCTAAAAGGAAATCAGCTTTGGGAATATGATCCAGTGGTAAGTCTTCTAATGTCTCATTTTAATGACACAAGTCAACTTGGGTTTTTACGTGAGCCTACAGAGCAACATATTCCAGGTTGGGACCACTATTTGACAGTCAAAACAGGAAGCAAAGTCAGGATTATGTTCCCTCTGTTATTAATCCATGGTATAGTCACTCAATGGGCATCTGTATTGATTTAATTACCTGGTGAGTTTTGGGGGAACTTAGAAGAGTATTTTCAATGTGCTTTTGGATCTTCTGGAGAAAGGTAGTCTGCTAGTGTAGTGTTGTGTTATGATGAGATCAACAATGGAAAAGTATTCCAGGTAATTTCCAGTCCGTTTTACTGGACCAGTAAAAGATAATGCTAATGATCTTGTGACAAATTCAGCAGCTGGTATCTTATCTTGCACAAGGTTACAAGGAAATACTTTTCTAATTAAAAAATCAGCATCCCAAAATTATAAGGAAGAGTTTACATTTCTAATCGTGGTATGTTTAAGGTAGAGATGCTTAAAACAGCTTTATTTTAATCATTCTCTTTCTTGTACATAATATTCAAATTTATTTTGAAGTTCATATGTTGAACTGCCAGATCTAGAAATCATTGACCGTTGATCCATTCATCAATAATTTGATTTGCAAGTTCTAAAAACAATTTTGTGATTGAGCAGTGTAGTGAAGAACTCTAACTTATGGCATGGCTAGTTAGAAAAAAAATAGTTCTCAAGCTTGTTAATCTAAAATGAGTTATTGCAAAAGAAAGTTGCAAGACAAATTGTGGAGGAGGAATCTTGCCAGTATAATCATGATATGACTTATAAAGAGAACATGTAGATATTTAGCTACTAAAAAGTCATTTCACTGATTTAAGAAATACCCACCTTTTTTTTTTTTTAACTAAATAGACTTACTATAGATTTTAGTAGCTGAGGTGTTAATGAAACCTACAGCCTTTAAGACTGAAAGGAAATACATATGAATGATGATTTTTTGATTAGGATGGCAGTTAATGTGGAAGACAGTGGATCTCTACTAGGATTTCTGCACATTGCTCGCAACTGCTGATAGGAGACTGAAGAAAGCTGTTGAAGGCTTTCAGGATTAAATGTTAATTGAAATGATTAAATTTGAGTCTTGGGAACCATTCACTCTTGTTTTTTATGTAGCTAGTTTACCTGACTTCAGTAAATAAGATGAGTAGTATTACTACGTGCAGTGATTCACCAAACAGCAAGTGCTTTTTATTTTGTTTCTACCTTATCAATGGTAAGAACGTTGCATCTTTAGACACCTGATTGCAATACTCTGTCTTGCAATGATTGCCACAGACTAAAACAGACTTTGCCTGTGTCGATCCTCAGCCATAAGTTTGGTTGTATGTGTGTTTTCTCTTCATTCTGTCAATGGAAAATCTAGGTATAATCTTCAGAACTTTACTGAAAGCTGTCTAATAAAGCACAAAAATAAGTTAGAGAATACTTAGCAAGAACTCCTGCCCACATAGTTGGGTGATTTCTCTGTAGTTTTTTTTCCGTCTCTGTTCAGGAGGCATATAAGAAGCCCCTTTCCCTTAATGTCTACCAGGAAGGAAAAAGAAAGGGTGGGTGGGGGAAGCTTTGTGTTAGTTATTTGTCTACTTAAGTCTGTTCAAACTCCCTTCTTCATTCTCCAGCTGCTGTATGAGTGCAGGAAATCGATGTGCTCGGGGTTTTTGGTTGGTTGGTTGGGTTTGTTTTTTTTTTTTTACCCTTTGCTGCTTGTGCACATAAGGCCTGCCTGTTCTGCCACTTTTCAGGCAGTCCAGCATCCTGGTTGTGCTGCTGAGTGAGAGAAGAAATACTGATAGTATGCCAGTCAGTACCATAGACAAGTTGATGCACTGATGAGTATCCGTAGTACAGTGGCAAGAAATGCAACTTCTGAAGATCTCTTCTCCATGAGTATAGTGCTGAGGTAGACGGAGTGGTGTAAGGAAGATTGCATAAGTAAGATTAGTAGGTATTGGAAAAGATACATGCATATGTGAATTTGTACACATCTTTTTTTAAAAGAACGTAGTGTAAGGTCAGTTTTGTGTCCCCAAGTGAGAAAAAAGCGTACTTTTGAATACCTATTCAGTGTGTTCGTTCTGATCTGATCAAAACTACTATTATAACTAATAATTGAAGTTGTAGATCTTACCAAACTTTAATTTCTAACTCCTCAAAGATCCCTAGCTGTATAGTCCTATTTAAAGAATGGTGGATATTGCTTGATAAAGAACGTGATTTAAAAGTTCAGAGTGTTCTGTTTTTCATGAAGCAATGTTTTTAGTATTTACAACATCAAATAGCGTATTTCAGTATTCTTTAGGATTGGAATCTGGAGTCAGTAACCAAGGGGTCTTGTCTAGTTACTTACCTATGGAAGAATTTTAATGGCCACTAGAAACTTTTTGGTTAGCTTATGCCTGGTGATTTTTGTAGAACTAATTTCTTTTTATTTTGTCTTCAAGAAACTAACCCTGTTGCATGTGAACAGTAACCAGTGCCTGGACAAAGCCACCGAAGAGGACAGCCAGGTACCCAGCATCAGAGACTGCAATGGCAGCCGCTCCCAGCAATGGCTGCTTCGCAATGTCACCCTTCCAGAAATATTCTGAGAGGTTCTAAAGAAAAGCAAGGATTGACTGGGCTACCTCGGCTGATACTTTGGCTACACTGTTAAGTAGCAACAGAAGAAACTTCTGCTCGGCAGAATCCACAGTTCATCAGCTGTTAGAACTCCTGCAGCTTCTCAGCAGCTGTGAACCAGCCTTCCTGTACAAGGATGTGAAACTACCACACATACTAGTGAAACTGCGCCCACTGATGATGTTTACAAGATCAAAAGAGTTTCTTCCAGCAAATAATTTAGAGAACGTTTGGACAGTGGAAACATAATCAATGAAATAGTCTCTCTGAAGAGCTGCATATCGTCATAGTTTGCTTGCACATCAGTAACCTCTGCTGAAAGTGCTGTTGTAAAGGAGAAAGTTCCAAGAATTTTTTTTCCTGGTTAGCAGTGGTAACCAGACTACTAAATATAGATCCACAAATAAATGAGAGAGAGAGAGATGGAAACGAGATTCTGTAACATGAAATAAGAATTCTGTGGTTTAAAAACAAAAAGTAAACAGGGTTTAATGGAAACTAAATCAGAACTATGAAAAGTACAATTTGTTATAGTGAAGTATCAAATTTATATGTAGATTTTATACCTCAGTGGGGGAAAATAACCAAGTCAAAAGGCAATTGTTTCTCTTTTTCAGTTGTGAAAAATAAACTTAGCTCTTGAATGTCGGATCAACTTTTTTCATTTTTTTATTTTAATTTCTTGGTTGCTGGAATTGTATCTTTCTATTACTGTCTGAAAACTGGAGGTTAACATGCTGTCTAACTTTTTTTTTTTTTGTCCAGACCTGCCGTTTCAGTTTATACTTGGGTCAGTCAGCTTATGGACTTTCATGGCCAAACAAAAGATTTAAGTACACTTTGAAATTAGTAAGTTAACTTGACGGAATATGCTTAGCGCCCAAGACTCATACTACTGTACTATGGTTTTGTTTTCATAGCAATAAATCTTTTGTTCCTTGTTTGATTTCGGTCATCAGAAAGCCAGAAGAAAAGATACATGATTTGGGTAGCAGGAGATCGGCAAAACTGAAGGTTTTCTGGAGTCCTTTTTCACTTCATATTCAGATGTGCTTCATTGTCAAGTGCATATTTAGATTAGACTCTGAATTGTAATGTTGATCTGCTGCTTTTTTCTAATAAAACCTAAAGAAAAATAGCTAAATTGGCATGGTTTTTAAAGTTAACATATCCAAAAGCAATATGACTATGTCATTACATTGGTCTGCATTTTTTAACTGAATTGCTTTGTTTTGTTAAGAGAAATCTGTATGGGCTGATCTTGAAAATGAGCCACTGAACGCTCAGAGTATACATTGAATTGTCTTTTGGAAAGAAAAATGAGATTTGCTTAATGGAGAAAATATTTTTATGATAAATGTCATTGTTTGGCCAACTGTCCTGTAAAGCAAATTAAACCTAGACTCATGCAAAAGTTGTGTGGAATTATATTTGGCTGCTATGGCCATTTTAGATTTGCTATTCCAAGTTGCTTTAGTCCGTGTTATCTCTGTAATTTCTGCAGCAGTACACAAGAGTTTTCATACACAAAGCAGGGGAAATGTTAACAAATGGCAGTATTATGTTGCTACTTTAAATATACATAGGATGAGTTGATGTGGGATTACTATCAGATAAAGCATCTAAATATATAACTGTCTTTCACTGACCCCTCTTTTTAGATAGCCCTGCAAATCTGATGAGGTCAAAGTGGATTTCATGGTACATTTATCAGAAAGATACTGAAGTGTGCCCAAATGACTTTAAAAAAAAAAAAAAAACCAAACAAAACCAACAATGCTGTCTTAGTGGTTTTATGAGAAGATTATTCCTTTGGTACAGTCAGTGAAGAGGATGGGATGGGTGACAGTGTCATAATTTGCAATTGATACATTTTCTTGCTCCTTACATCCTCTGTGGTCCCTCCTGCTTTTATACTGTTTCTGAAGTACCATTTGTGGTTGTCTGATACTGCACGTTAGCCCACCGAAATACTGTTTGCAGCCTTCTGCTCTGTTACAAGTGCTTGATGGTTTGGATCATGTTTTGGATTTTAGTTTAGTTTATCTTAGCAAACTAGCTTTGGTTTTTGTGGGGGTTGGGTGAAAATGGGGTTATGTATTAGTTCAGAAACAATTTCCCAAACTCAAAATGCATCCCTTTAAAAACATTGCCAGTGAAGAAGCTCTAAATCAGAGGTGGGTAACTTCGTGGAATGAGAAGCAGGAGCATCATAAGTACAGTGTAAAAGTCCTGTAAGTTTTAAAAATGTCTTAATTTAGTGTTTCAGATTTCATAAGTATGTTGCACATCACTGAACACACAAAACTGAATACACTTTCACTTTATTTTTTTAACTCTTATGATTGCCTCTGTCATATCCTGTTAACAAAACTTAAGTGCCACACCTTGTAATGTAACTAAACCTGTAAGCAGGCCTCAGTGTTACTATGATTTTGACCCTTTTTAATTCGACAAATCATTTTAATATGTTGGTCAAATAAAACTGCAGTAAAAATCATCGCACAACTGAAAATTCACGTATTAAGTTGTCAGCTTCAGAAAGCTGAAGTAGCAATCCGATTTCCAGCCTATACCTTACCAATCCTTACCTGTAAAGGTAGCCCTCTTCCCCTGCTGAATACGGGGAGGGGAAGCAGCAGACCAGAGAGTGTCTGCAGCCTCTAGGTGTTTGGCCCAAAACCCCTTAGCTCAGCCAGTCCCGTGGTGGGGTAACTGGTGGTGGTTGACTGGCAGTGGGCTCTGCTTAGCTTGCCCGTCTCGCCACGGCACGTCCTCAGCAGTTGTACTGCCTTGGTGGACAACACCGGGCTTCTGCAAAGGTTCCCTGTCCCTCTAGTAATGTGCATTTCAAATACTTTGTTGTATTAAGCACGTTTCAAACATGGCCACAGAATAGCTTCCCCCCCACAGTTTTCTTCTAGCTTCTTTTACCACAAATGTGGTGGCTGTCGTCAGAGCTCCCTGCTGAAAGTGAGCTTCCTCAGTGACTGTTTAGCTGCAGCCTCCCAGTGGTGGTCCTCCACTTACAGGCATAGTGCCTCTATGTCCCAGATTTGAATAGGAATATTAGGTGACTCTACCCTTTCAGAGTTACAGGCATACTTAATTCCTTTCCATCTAATCTGTCTTCCCATACTGAAGTCTTCAGTTGGAATTTTTAGAGCCTCTGTAGCTATTTTTATTTAACCTGTTCTGGTAAAAAAAAAAAAAATCTGTGTTTTTTCTTACTGTGTAACATATCTGTGTTATTAGGTATTACAAATAATTTCTAGTAGAAATCCCACTCTGCTTTCCAGTGCCTCTGTATTTATGGCTGCTTTGTTCAGATCAGATGTAGGAAGGAAAACAAAAAGACCACTGCTGTCTTATTTGACATTGATAGCAAATACAAGCAGGGTAAGTGGAAAAAATCAGTAGTCATATTTTGAAAAGAATCGTTAAACTCTTTTTTTTTTTTTTTTTGGTCCTTCTTCTGTCTTGCGCTCAGTGTGTTTAGCATAAATTCCCTATGCATGCTCTGAAGACAGTGTTCTGTTCTCCATCTCTTCTCATTTGCCTGTGCGAAGACATTTATTGAGAAATACCAGTGCCTTTTAACTGAGTTGAAGTGTATTACATATTATGGTACAGACTTTGGATAACTACACTGTGCCAGGTCTGATTAGGTCATCTTCAGTGTGTTTAGATACTGAAAGTCACAAAACAGGTAGCTGTGTGTACATACAACTGTGAATGTGTTTGTCTCGATCTGCCAGTTTGTTTTATCAGTATGAAATTAAGTTGTATTTTAGTAGATTTACTTTTATGGTAGTGCTATTCAAAAGGGCTTAGCAGTCACTTTTCATTATATCGCAGCAATGGACCTAATCTGAGATATGTACTGTAAGCAAAAGAGAATCTGTATGTTACAAGTTAGCAGCAAAAGTAAGATAATCTTTCTAATTCTTACTCCGCAGAATGCTTCTTAGTTGCTGAATGCATTCAGAGAGATGAGCAAAACCTTGGCAGATTTGTTCTGCCATATTTCTCCTCCAAAGTAAGAAAGAAGATGCAAATATCCTTCAGAAGATCGGCTGAGTAATAGTTACTCAAAGGTTTCCTTCATTTGAAAGTATGGAGGAATTGTTAATGTAGTGAAGAAATGCTGGGAAACTTAGTTGTAACAGAATAGATTTTAATACCTTTAAGCACCTTGGATCTTATTTGAACTTAATTGTTATACTAGAGATTGAGGGTCAGACAGGCGTATGTCGGGTTAAAATGATCAAACTTGCACAACATCAGAGTGCTGTTTGCTCTCAGGTCTATAAGAACATTTCTTAGAATCATCTTAAAGCAAATGGTTCCCAAGTTTGTGTCTAAACACTCTGATAATTGAGAATTGATCAACTAAACATAGGTGTGATATTATGCGAAGGTGGTGCACATGGTGTACAGTGCTTTGAATAACAATAGTATTTTCTGTGTAATTAAAAAAAGTTTTTAATGTATAGAACAAAAGTGGCACAATAGCTAGTAGGTTATCGAGAGACTAGAAATCATGACATTGAGATGAAAACTAACTCACTGCACTGCTCACTACTTTTCCTTTTTGAATCTTGGAGAATGCATTTGTAGCATTCTGCTTCATTTCATGCAGTGTCAACTGATCCTTACCATGCCGAGCCATTCAGCCGGGTGATGCTAGTCCATATCAAAACCAAACTCTTGAGAAGAAGGCAAGCTGCTGCTTCTGACAATAAACCAAGTGATTGCCATAGCATCAGTTGAGGGCATAGATAGTAACCTGCCCCTGAAATGATCGTTACTGGTTTCCTTGCCTCTGCCTCTGAAGCAACTAGTAAGACACACAGAAGAAGTCCTTTTGTTCAGTTTTAAATGCATCATCTTTCTTTCAGTAGATGGATGTCTTTAGGAGTTCTCAAATAACCTTGATATTATTCATGCTTTGTATTTGTATTCTTAAAAAAAGCTTTTTGTTCTCACCCCTTGCGGAGTTCTGTCCCATTTTTATCACCTTTCTCTGAGTCTTCTGGTTTTTTTATTCTTTCAAAGATTGGATTATGGTGTTTAAGGTACTGATGAATTCATATGTTGCCATTAAAGATGTGCATTATTTCTGTGTTATCTATTGTGCATTCTAATAGTACATTAAGTAAATGTTTTCATTTTCAAGTGATCCTCAGTGGCGTTTTAGTCTTCTGAACATTTAGCTTATAACACAGGACTGTAGAAGTAATTCTTTCTTCCATTTTGCATTAAGTTGAATTTATAGATTTTTTGCTTTCTTTCCTTGTATGCTGTTTGATCACCTAGCTTGGGTTATTTTGCTATCTTAAATAACTTGGACTTCTTTCTCAGTACTTAACGATACTGGTTCAGTCACAAGTTTCTGACATTCCCGCTTTTGCTTTTCTCTTGGGTTGGAATGGACCTCTGCAGGTCATCTGGTCCAAACCCCTGCA